CCATTTCTGATTAAGTCATTTGGGGTTGGATTTTCTGTGATTTGCAGCCAAAAATATCCTGAATACACTCTTCGTTTTTCTTTAGACACTCACAGCAAACGTTTCTTTACTTGCCTTATCTTCTGTTGTGTGCTGGCATTGCTGCTGACCAGGGGTACGTGGTCCTTACTCTTATTTTCCTGTGGACTTTGAATTTATAGCTTTCCACTGAGCTTGATTTCTGTGTCCTCTCATGGGAATGCCTGACCCTGATCCCACAATCCCACATTCTACATGCAATGCTGTCTCCTGAGTCACCAACACTGTCTTAAGCCAGACTCATGATTTTGGTTTCTACCCTGCCACTCCCTAGGTTCAATATCTGGTACAAATTTTAATCAAATTATTATAACTCATTTAGAACTATGCACAGGAATGATTTTACTCTACTCAACATTTATACTGATCTGTGTGTGGTCCGAACTAGGCAAACAGCTCCAAGCAACTTTCTCTTCGAACCATGCTATATACATTTTGTTTCTGCCTGTCCAGGACCTCTCTGAGCCTCAGAAACCAATTTCACCATAAAAGTCAAGTTTTATTAACTTCCAGAGGGAACCTGAGAGGAGAGAAGAGGGGGCCAGGGTGCACATTAGGATAGGATGCTTGTACTTCTTTTAGAGATGTGATGGAGACTGCCTGGGAGTCACATTCATCAGTTCCAACCCAACTTCTAATATGAGCTGAAAATCTGTGCACTCACATATGTTGGTAAAGCCCAGTGAATCATCACAAAGCCGGCATCTCAGGGTGTCTGTTCCTGCTGTATAGACACTCAAATTCCTGAAAGTGTCTGGAAGCAGAGGTGCCACCCAAGAAATAACACTTCATCCTTTTGGATTTTCCTGTAAGACAGAAAGAATTGTGAACTATCTTTTCTTGATTTGTAGATGAAAGTAGCAGAGACTGAGAATCATGGGACTACAGAATGTGTATCAGAGCCTGAAGGGCCTAAAATTAGTTTAACTTGTTCTTCTAATTTATAGATAGAGGAATCAAAGTTCAGAGATATCAAGTGACTTGTCCAAGGTCACCGAGTCAGCTGGTGGCAGAGTCAGGATGAAGATTAAGGTCTCTTTGCTTCCAAAGCAGCGCCCTTTTAATTACGTCCTCTGGGCCTTTATAATCAGCAATAGAATGGCTTCAGGATCCTACACGAACATTTGACTTTTAAGGACGTATTAGTTTCAGGAAAAGTTCAGATTTAGTCCTTCATGTAAGGAAGTATCTCAGTTAGCTATTTTAAGGTAACAAATGACCTAAAACTTAGTGAATTCAAAAAACAATCATTGAATGGCTAGAGCTGGGTCAGGCCACTTGCAGCAATGTTCACTCATGTGTCTGCTGTCTGATGGAGACTGATATCTTTTTAGGAGGGGCTCAGCTGGGATGGCTCATCTCTGCTCTATGTGGTCTTTCATCCTCCAGCAGGAAAACCTGGCATGGCAGCTGGGCAAGTTTCCAAAACAGAGAATGGGAGTGCTCAAGTCCTTTTGAGAGGTAGACTCGGAACTCATGCTATTTTGCTTCTATCACTTTCCATTAGCAAGAGCAATTCATGAAGCCAGCCCAGATTCAAGGAGTGAGGAAAGAGACTCTACTTCTGGGTGGGAAAGCGTGCAAAGTCACATTTCAAGAAGCATGAACGCAGGAAGGGAAATAATTATGGATTTACAAACAACTTACCTCAGGAAACGTAATGGCCTCTTGTTTCAAATAAGTGCCTAAACCATCCTAGTTCTTGGCATAAACATAGCAGGAGCTTGATACCTACATATCAAATGAGTTTTTCCATCTCACTGTTAATGGGAGTTCGTGTGGATGAGCTTATTATGTGTGTGTATCTGTGGGGTTGTGCGTATGTTTATGTGTACATGTGCATATGTACATGTGAATTTGTGTTCTTTTAGGTCTTTTGAGGTGCAGGCTTCTGCAAGAACACCTTATAAAGACAAGACATCTCAGGACCAAAGATAGAAGCCTAACCTGAGTGTACAGGTTATGTTAGGCCTCCTAGCAGAACCCATCTCAAGTGGTAGGCCATAAATTAGACTCCATTCCTGGTAGCAATAGCACATTGGGTGATAGTTTTCATTTTCTGAGATCAGAAAATACACAAATTTATATGCACAGAAAAAGTGTTTCCTGGAAATCAATCTCAAAAGGAACACACCAGGGAAGGGAGATCAGCTTTGTACACAGCCACCATCGAGGGGTCTTGACCCTCAGGAACAAAAACACTTTCAGCCCCTGATCCCACAGGTTCTTACCTGAGGGGTCTTGGCCACTACCACTTCCAACATTTCAGTACATTCTAACCCACCTACGCTTTGTGGCCTCGGAGTGGACAAAGTCCATACCTCTTAGCTCAGCCACACTGAAGTTACAGACTTTCCTATAGCTAATATTAATCACTGCGTAGCTGCTGAGTACCAGACACTTGGCTGGGTGCTAAATGTATAGAATGAAAATAACAGCATGACCCTTGCCTACATATAGCTCACAATCTAGTAGGAAAGGAGACATTAAACAAGGAAATAGTCTAATACATAAATATATAAAAATTGCGATAAACAGTATGAAGGAAAACAGCAGGATGTTTTAAAAGAGAATAAGAAGAAGCAAATCAGTTTGGATCGGGTCATTGAGAAAGCCCTCCCTAGAGAGGTGAAGTCCCAGCTGAGACCTAGAGGACATAAAAGGGTCAATCATGAAAAGGAAGAGGCCATTTTAAGTAGAAGAAACAGCGGGAACAAAGGTCCTGGGGCAAGAAAAAGTTTAGTGCTTAAGCACCTGAAAAGAGCTCAATGGAACTAAAATCTAGTCAGAGAGAAGTTCAACATGAGAGTATAAAAATAGCAGGGGCCAAATTACGCATGGTCTGGTAGGTTATGTTATGGAGTTTGGACTTTAGTGTAAGAGAAATACTAAAATAGTGTAGTGTTTTCTCAGATCTTTTCAGGAAATTCAGATATGGCAACCTTAATCCCCATTGAGAATTCCTAGGTTAGCAAAGATTCTAGGAAACCAAGAGAGAAATAACTCTGGTTCATCCCCCTGTCCCCAAAGTGAACGGGTTTGCAAAACAACTTCTTGGACTTCAGGGCCCCGTCCAGACACAGGCTCAAAGGGTGCAGCTTCCTTGGACCAAGCCGTATGACCTCAGACTGCATGTTGGTCCCTGGCAGGGACTCTTAGACCCTCGTAGACTCTTTTTCTCTCCTAATACTTGTCTTCTCTTCTTCTCATACACTATGAGCCCAGGATGTATTGCTTCCACCCACCTCAGCCTTGGTCATTCCTGTCTTTGTTCTCACCTCTTCCTGCCTGGATCCTGGATTACACCTCCCCTGACCAAGACTTCAGGACTTTCAACCAGCACAAACCCGACACTTCACTCCTTCAGTCTCCCAGAGGTCCTGCCTCTTTTCTCTCCCCAGGGCCCATTTACTTGCTAAATGGTCAATGACTCCGTCTCTTGGGAAAATCTTAAATTTGTCATCGCTTTGAACTAATGGCTGCTAATATTTCACCACCAGTAACCCCTTTTAGTCTTCCCTCAATCCTTTCCACCATCTTCATGGAAGAAACATGTCGCATCTAATAACAATAGCTAATCTTTATGAGCACGTTTTATATGCCTAGTATTGTCTTAAGTGCTTTCCATGTAATACCTTATTTGATCCATGTACAATACCATAATACAAGGCTGGCCGATGGTATTTTCTGAAAGTGACCACATATCTCCTGTTTCTGATATTCTTCTAGACCCTCTCCACTCCCCCATTAGGAGGCAGAGCTTAATTCTCTGCCCTTGAGCCTGGCTGTCCCATGAATTGCTTGTAATCAATAAAGTGCTATGGAAGTGACTGAGTGATTTCTTAGGCTTAGACCCCAAAAGTGATGCAGCTTCCCCTTGTTAGCTGAGAATTTCTCTTTTGTAGTTCTGAGCTGCTATATAAAAAAGTTCAGTCGTAAGACTGTTAAGCTGGAGAGACCATGGGTACACTCCAAGGAGCGACCTGGCTGTGCTCACAGCGAATAGCCAGCACCACCTGCCATGCATGGAGTGAGCATCTTGCATGCCCAGCTCAGTTAAATCTTTAGACAGCAGCAACCCCAGATGACGTCTGATTGCAATCATATGAGAGCCTCCAATCAGATCTGCCCAGCCACGCCTTCTCCATACTCCTGACCGACAAAGCCACAAGTGATCATTTTAAACTGGTAAGTTTGGGGATAGTTTGCTACAAAGCAATAAGAACCAGAATAATAGGTATTGTTGTTGGCCCCGATTTACAGTTGAAGAATCTGAGACCAAGCCAAGCAAATCCACTGCCCAGGGTCAAAGAGCTAATCAGTGGTAGGACTGGAATCTTAGGTCTCTCACGCCACTAAGCCTGTGCTGTTTGTACACTATCCATCGGTTAAGCAGTGGTCTGCACAACTCAGCTATGGGGATGATATAAAGTTCTCAGCATGTGGACCCCTCCCCCCATTCAAGGATGGAACCCAAGTTGAGAGCTCGTATTCTAGCTCATTCGTATTGGGATTAACCTCAGGGATTGCCCTCCAGCCTTCCAGGTGGATCCACATGCCGTAGATGACCTACGCATCCTGCCCACCCTGTTATGAAACTAGCAGGGATGTTCTAAAATATGGGAGCATTGTAGGACTTAATTCATGAGGGTATTTAGGGTATTAAGTGAAATCATGTATGTAAAGTGCTTATCACACTTCCTGGCATTTGTATATGTTTCATTTAAATGTTCCCTGAGTCTAGAGACAGAAACACACTGAGCTCTACAAACTCCTGTCTCCCTCCTACTGCTCAGTGGAGCCCCTTTAACTGTACTTAATTCACTCGATGGTACTTACAAAAAGCAGTGATTCAAGGTAGAACTCCACCTTCCCAGCTTAGTAAGAAAACATACCCAGAGTGAGAGGAGGCTGTCCTAACGCAGGGTCCCATTTTCTCATTTCTCCATCTGAAGGCAGGTTTGCCATTGTAGAATGATGAAGAATTTTGCTGCCTCTCAGTCTCTTCATATGAAAAATGGAAATAGTATTGATTACTTCATGGTGGATGTGAGTAGTCCATGAGATAAAAAATGTCGGAGCTTAGAGAAGAATAAAAGTTCTTCCCTCCCTCTCTGTTCTTCTTTGGCCCACCCTCTGAAGAAGCTAAGGATATGCCTCCCTTTCCCTCTTCCCCCTGGATCCAGGTAGGTTTTGAATCCTGGAGGTTGACTCCAGAGTTTTGCACACAACCACTGCACTAATGCTCTCCCACTGCACCTGCCACCATCACCTCTTGCTGAGATTCCTGCAGCATCTCCCCACTGGCATTACTGCCCTGCTTTACTCTTCTATAAACCGTCCTCCACACAGCTACCAGAGAACTCCTTCCAAAACACAGCTCTGATTGCATCACTCTCTGATCAAAGCCTTTCGAGGACTCTCCATGTTTCCACAGGATGAAGTCTAGGCTCCTCCAGCTGACCCGTTAATCTCTGCGCAGTTTGGCTCCTGCCTGCCTCTCTCCAGCCTGCTGTCCATGGAACCCTGTTCATCTTACACTCAGGGACACTGGAGTGATCTATGCTTTTTCATTCTGCTGCATCTTGGTTTATTCGATTTCTTATTCCTCCTGAAATGCCTCTTCATCACCTGAAAACGCCTACTCATCCAACCCAAATATGAAGCTCTCCCTGACCCACACGGGCCCCTGGCTCTGCTCTCTGCACATCCTGGGCTTGTTCCCCTTATGGTGTCCATCACCTTGGAAGGCAACAATTTGCCTGCAGACCTATCTGTCCCAGCAGACCATGAATTCTTGGAGACAGGACCCTCGTTAGCTACCCGACACCTCCCACAAGACCAGCACAATAAGGCATTAACGAACAAGTGCTGAAAAATTTTTAGATATGAAAATTGTTACTGTTATTATAATGGCACCATACAGGTAACAGTGCCTTTGGGACTCCAACCTATCACCTTGGCTTCCTATAAGAATGCAGCCTCAGCAACTCTGCCCATGTGCCTCTTCTTCTCCTAGGTGCCACCAAAACCCATGTGTTGATAGGTTTCAGCACCCAGACACACCCCCACTTCATCTATCTTTCTCTTCTCACTATTCCAGCCTCCCAGACTCCTTCGGATACTAGAGAAGAGAGCTTGCTGCTTCCATACCAACCTAAACCAGGGAGGGGCAACTCCTAGTCTTCCTTTTGGACCTCCTGCTTTCTCACCTAGGTTTAGTTCAGACAAAACAGAATGTTCAAGAGATGCATTTATTGAGCAACCAGGGAAAGCAAAGAAGAAAGAGGTGGCTAGTGAATGTAAGATTTTATGGACTCTAGGCTTCCGTTTGTGTCTGCCCTCCATACTAGGCTGTACGCTTCTTCAGGGCATCTTAGACCCATTGAGAATATTTGTGGAATGAATGAATGAATGAAAATGAATAAATGGTGTCGTTGAGTCACTCACCTTGGCAGATTATTTGCTCAATTCTTTCATCAGGACACTGCTAAAAGCCGCCCTGCTGGGTCACTTGTGTAAGTGTTACTGGAAAGCACTACAATAGATACCTTGTCGGAGGTGCAGGAAAGCTGTTCCTTCAGGATTTCCCAGGGCACAGGATGCTTCAAGGCCGAGTCCCGGTCTAGGAGAGGAGATGCTGGAGGAGAAGCAACATTTTCTTATGGCCCGAGACTGGAATTCCAATTGTCCACTTGAAAGGGAGACCATCATCCAACTAATCTCTGCTCCAGCCCTCGGGGTAGACCTGTGAGAGGCTGCCAGAAACCTGCCAGGTGTTTCATTTTTTGCATTGGTGTGTAAATGACATCTAGATGCCTTTCTGGCCAGAGGGAGGTTTCTGCTTAATTCAGGCTCTGGAGAGATGTCTCAGGCAACCCAGCAACCCGCAGCCCTAGCGATGAGGTTTATCTAATTGTACATGCAAACCCACCTCTCTGTTCTGCTTCAGGAGGCTTTGCTATTTCTTGCACATCCTGCAATGCACGAGCTGTCACCTCTTCTGTGAAGCCTTCCCAGCCACGTGGCTCACAGCCTCCACTGGAGCCCCCTCTCCCCAGACTACATCACTCACACATAACCCACCCAGGTACCCATTAGCTTTTGCTACTTAATAACTACCACATAATTTGTAGACTTAAAGCATTAAGCGTTACGAGCTCATGATTGGGTGGGTGTTTATGCTGGACTCCAACAGCTTCAGTCACCTGCCCGACAGCTAGGTACTCTTGGCTGGGGACACGGAGCCACTGAGCCACACATATCTCCCATCCTCCAGCAGGCTAGCCTGAGCTTGTTCACATGACAGAGGCAAGTTCCCAGGTGAGAGCAAAAGCAGCAGGGTTTCTTCAAGTCTAAGCTTGGAACTGTCACAAGGTCCCATTTGCCTCATTCTATTGGTTAAAGCAAACCACAGAGGTCAGTGTTGGTTCCAGGGTCCAGAAACAGGTTCCCCTCTCAAAGGGAGGAGCTTTGAACTCACATTGCAAAGAGGCATGAATACAGGGAGGGAAAATACCCATCCACCACAAGGGGTCTGTTTTTGCTGTTTCGTTATTTCAACTTGAACCTGATAAGGAGTAGGTCTGAGGCTGTAATCCATGGACTTGGACTCCAAAGTAACTGTCAAGAGAAAGTCTAGCATTTCACCTGTAGCTTGTGCTTTGGTGTCTATAGACCTAGATTTGTATTCTGTCTCTGCCACTTACTCTTCATGTGACCTTGGGATAGTCACTTGTGCCTTTTGAGCTTCCATTTTTCTTTTCCACAAAATAGAGATATTACTAATTCCAACCTCACAGTGTTGTTGTAAGGATTAAACAAGATATGGATGTAAAGCCCTTAGCACAGTGCCGGGCATGAAGTAAATGCTGAATGAAAGTGGCATTTATTATAAGTATTATCGTTAAAAACAAAAGTCATTATTTTACCAGCCAAAACCTAAAGCAGGGGAATCCTCATCTCAAATTCTTATACTAAAAGTTCCTCAAGGGCACGAACTGTATGTACAAAAATATTCACTGCAGCTTTGTTTATAATAGAAAAAGAATTTGAAAGCAGCATAAACATCCAACGACAGGGGGTTGGCTAAATGAATTTGAGTACATTGACCCAAAGGATTGCAGTGTAGTCATTAAAAATGATGTAGAGCTGTGTGTGCTGACATTGAAAGCCGAACATGACGTATTGTCAAGTGGAAAAGTTTATAAAGTAGTACATTTAAGTACATCGCCATCTATGTAGATATATTTATGTGTAGATATACCCATAGAAATCTTGGTGGAAAGACAAAAAGTTTAATGTGTCTATCTTTATGTGAGATTATAGGATCCTACCCCCCTTTATCCTAGCTTTTCTAATTCTTCTATAATAAAATGTGTTACTTAACTAAATTTGTCTATTATATTTCAATAAAACTGGGGAAAAAAATTACAATGGGACAGTAACTCTTGGATCACCAAGAAGGTAGGCTTCAAAACTAATGCCATGTGCCAGGCCTTGAACTTGGCACTAAGAGTTTTTAAGCCCTTTAACATCAGGCTCTGTGCTGGGTGCCTGGTTTGATGAAGCTGGCTACTCCATGGGGATCTGGGTGTGTTCGCAGGAATTCTCAAGGGCCCAAGCAGTTTACACTTGACCTGTAATGTTGGAGCATTTTTTCCCTGAGGGCACCTATAGCTGCTGCTTTCTCTTCCTGTTCCTCAAAACACCCCAACAGTCCCCACGAAGTCAGTGTTATGGGGAGAGATGACAAAGCTGTCCTCAGTGCCTGCTCCATTCCCCACCCAGCAACGTGAGAAATGGAGGGAGAAGGACTGGCCCCAGGAGCCCAAGCTTGCAGCCCAGGCCATGGAGGTAGATGGGATTCCAGGGCTGGAACAATGGGCTGTAGGATGCCAGCTTCTCGTCTTGCCTTCATGGCCTGGGCCTAAGGGAGAGTGTGAGTCCAAAGCAGCACTACCAACAGAAAGGAAAGGAGATAGCACTCCCCACCCTATTTAGAGGCGCAGAGTTATTAAAACTCAAAAATGTCCATTAGCCATAATTTCACCCCAGAGAGCCTTCAGGCTTTCAGGGAAATAAATGAACAGTCCACTCTGTAGCCCTGTCTCTCCCCATCTCACCTTAATCCCCAACTGACTTCGCTCTGGGTCTCCGTGCACTCTCCTGGGCCCTGAAGCATCTCCATTAGGTCCCTCCCTTACCAACTGGCCTCGTTCCTCCCGTAGAGGCCCTGTGGGTCAGTGTATCCTCTTCTGAGTGTGCCGAAAGCAAAATTAACAGTCCCTAGCACTCACACATGAGGAGATTTGATGCTTTTCCCCAGAAAGGTATTTGTCACAGCCTGAACTATTAAGCACGGGTAAAAGTGGGTTACCTTGATGAAGCAGCCATGGCTGAATTCTGGCAGCTGGGAAAGACTGGGAGTAGTTGCTGAAATGGCAAAATGACTGGAGACTCAAGGGACATGAGAACTGGGGGATTAAGATAACGAAGAAAACAGGGTTTAGGAGAATAATATACTGATTTTTAAAATATTTAGCTGAGTCATCTCCCTCCCGTGTCTTTGGGTAGACCAACAGACCATTTCCTTGGTTACTCACAGAGAAGCATGGTGGATACGGCATCCGCCCTTAGAATGCCAAAACGCAAACGTTTGTAGGCGTGTGTGGATGTAATGTTGAGTCACAATATTGTTAATTATGAGGAAGTTTAGGAATTGAGGCAAACTTTCTCCCACCCCCATTCGCTGACAATTAAGGCAGGCTGGCTGTGAATTTCTAGCCATCATCCTTTTCTTTTCTGACTCCCGTAATTGGGTTAGAATGCCTGTTAAACTAGCATGCCTCCAGAACTTGAGCTAAGTTAGAGTCCTTCATAAATTAGGCAATAAATTGGAATATGTTTCCCCATCTGCTATCCAAATTTAGGATATCTGTGATTTCTCATGAGGCACTAAGATATACAGCAAAGCCCAGGCTTCTGTGGTATTTACGGTGCTTGGAAGGTGTATAATAGTGGTGGAAACTCTGGTCTGTGGCCTTGGACAAGTATCTTAATCTCTTTGTGCGTCTCAGTATTTTCATCAGCAAAGTGGGAATAATAAAAGCACCTGCCTCATACGGTCGTCATGAAGTTTAATAAGGTAATCCATGAGAAATGCTTAGAACGCCATCTGGCAGAGAGGAATTCAGCAAACATTAACAACCCAACTACTGCAATTAAAGTTCATAAAATTCCAAGAGCATAAAGGCATCCCAGTACAAGAGACACACAAGGTAAAGATGGCATTGATGAGCTCTCTCTCAGACAAGGTGGCCTCCCTGTCACAATTGTCTGTCTTAACCCAGCTCAGGTGAAACCCAAGTCCCTGCCCAACTTCACGCCTACACCGTTTCAGCTGGATGTGGCTGGAGGAAAACCTCAAACCATGCTGATTGCTCTCTCAGTTCATGTTCACCAACCTCAGACGGGCCTTTGGTGCAACCTGGTTAATCATCCTACTTGCGCTTGGCTCATGTTATCTCTAGAAAATTATCTTATACCTCCTTCCTCCTCCATCTCCTCCTCACTCTTAGCTATAACCTTGCTTCCTAGTTCCTTGAGAAAATGGAAACACCGAGAGGATAGCTTTCACAGGTTTCCAGCACCTCAGCTAACAGCCTGATTGACACCTGCATTTTTGCCCGTATGTGCTACTCTCTCTACTGTTGACCTATACGCGTGTTTGTCCTGGGTCACTGTCCCACCACTCATTCACTAGGTCTCATCCCTTAATGTCTGGGATCTGGGAAAGAAGACTGTCAACCTGAAAAATATCTACTTTATTTCCCTCACATCAATTTTCTTTCTCTTTTGGACCATTCTCATAAGCATCCAAATGTTGATTTAAAAAACAAACAAACACCTTCTGCATTACACGTCTCTCATCCCAGATGCTGCCCCATTTCTCCACTGTCTGTACAGTGAAGCTTTTCAGAAGCATTGCCTGTACTTGCTCTATCTACATTCTCACCTCCACCTCCCTTGAACCCACTCAATCAACTTCCTTTCCTATGGCTCCATCCAAAACAGTGCTTGTCATGGTCACCAGTGCCTTCATGCTGCCTAATCCAGGTTGGTTCTCAGGCCTCACCATTCTTCGCCTCTCAGTAACAGCTGACACAATTGATCACTCCCTCTTCCCTAAAACACTTTCTTCTCTTAGTTTCTGATCCTCCTTTTACCTTATTTGGCAAAGTTTTCTCAACCTTGTTTGCTGGCTTCTTCTTATCTCTCTTGTCTTTCAACACTGAGGTGCAGTTTAGCTCAGTCTCAAACTCTTCTCAGTCTGAACAATGTTGTCTTACCTGGTTTTGTGACTTTAAATACCATGTCTAGGCCAATGGCTTCCAAAGATGTGTCTCCAACCCAGACATTATTTATTATCTCTCTTTGAATATCTAATGGACATCTCTAACCTAAAGTATCCAGAATTGAACTCCTAATAGCTATCCCCAAATGAGCCCCTTTAAAAGTCATTCTCTCTCAGAAAATGGCACCTTTCGTCTTACATTTGTTCATGCCCCAAGTCTTGGAATTATCTCAACTCCTCTCTCTCTACCTTTCCATATACAATTTGTCAGCAAATCCTGTTGGCCCTTCTTTTAAAATCAAGCCAGAATAAGAGTACTTCTTGCCACCACTAATGCTACCATCCTGGCCAAAGACATCATCATCTCTTACCAGGATTATTTCAATAACCTTTTCTAAAGACCAAATATCTGTCTCTGTAAAATATATATGTTGAAATCTAATCCCCAATTTGATGGTAGTAGAAGGTGGAGCCTTCGGGAGAGGTGAGTAGGTCACAAGGATGGAGTCATCATGAATGGGATTGTACCCTTATAAAAGAGTCCCCAGAGAGCTCCCTTACATCTCCCACCATGTAAAAACACAGTGAGAAGACATCTTTCTATGAATCAGAAAGTGGGTTCTCAGCAGTTACAGAATCTGCCAGCACCTTGAATTTGGACTTCCTAGTCTCCAGAGAAATAAATTCTTTTTGTTGTTTTTAAGCCATTCAGTTTACGGTATTTTTGTTACAGTACCCCAAACTGACTTAAGACAGCCTATAATTGGTCCTCTGGCCTCCACCACAGCACTTCTATTCTTAATAAAGGAGCTAGGTGGATTTTTGACCCTTTAGAAGGATCAGATTGTGGCACTTCTCTGCTACAAACTCTCCTTTAACTTTCCATTTCACCTTGAGAAAAAGCTAAAGGCCTTGCAGTGGCCCCTGCTGCCTCCAGGACTCTTGGCGACATTGATTCTATTCTATCCACACTGACCTCCTTGTTCCTTGACTGCATCACACCTCAGAGCCTTTTCAGTCCTTGATACTCTCTCTCCCTAGAAAGCTCTTCCTCCAGATGTCCACATGATTTATGTCATTCAAGTCTTTATACACATGTCATCTACTCAGAGAGAACTTCTCCAACGGTCTCAACCCTGTTTCTCCCTATCTCCCTTACTCTGCTTCATTACTTTCCACGTTACTTCTCCAATAACGGGGCTTCTAATTTGTTTTGTTCACCGCTATAACCCCAGAATCTAGCACACTTAGTTCTCAATGAACCTTTGTTTAATGAATAAATAAATGAAAATTAGTCTACCCTTCAGTTAACCCCCTGTCATGGGCATGCAGAGGTTACAGTGTTGGGCTGGCAGTGTGGTAGCGTCAGTGGAAGGGACCTGGGAGTTGGAATAATTTTGTAGCTTATAAATTATTTATGAAAATCTCTCTCACAAAGTCAGATTTGGCCTGGAGCATGAGGACAATCAAGTTTTCTAAGGTTCTACAATTCTGACATTTCTTTTTCTTTTTTTTTCTTTTTTCTTTTTTTTTGGCATAAAGCACCTGGTTTTCCTAGGTGGTCTCCCATCCAAGTTCTAACCAGGCCCAACCCTGCTTAGCTTCCAAGATCAGATATTGGGCTTGATCAGGGTGGCATGACCATAGATCATGGACCGTGGCTCCATTGGGGCGCAAGCCCAGGACCTTCTTCGTGTAAAGCAGACGTGCTAACCGCTACACTACGAAACCGCATCCATAACATTTCTATCTTAGTTTATGTAACTCCAGAGACTACCACTGCTGAGGTAGGAGAAGATCCATGAATGAATGACGTATGTACCAAGCATTTGCTGTAGGTCTCCAGACCACTGTGGAATATTACTCCATGGGCATGTTATGCCTCCATTAAAACCCTCTGGTGGGAGGAGAGAAGGAGTAGTTAGGGGGATCATTTTATAAAGTATATAAGTGTCTAACCCATGTACTGTGTACTTGAAACTAAAATAAATTTTTAAAAAACCCTCTGGTGGGGAGGGAGGGCTCTTTTTTTTCTGCTCTTCCCTGAACCCATGATTGTAACATGAGTTGGGCATATAGTAAAGTCTCTTTGATAAATTGATTGCTCCAAAATGTAAGACCCATGAAGGTTTTGGAGATGTTCTGCATAGAACATCAGTTTACCATCTGACTCTGTAATTAGCACTTTAACTAATTGATTGCTCTTTATAATTATGGTGAGCTTGCATACCTGTGTTCTTGTCCTGGCAGAGATGTGTTGGACAGTGCTGCTATAAACCCCACATTTCAGTGGTTTAACAAAATAAAAGTTTATTTTTCAGCCATGAAAAGTCCAGTCAGGTATTTGGAGGGTTGCCTTCTATGAAGGAATTCTGTTGACCCAGGTCTGTTATCTTGTGGTTCCACAAACCCTTAGGATATTGTAATTCTCTGTTACACCCCCTTCTGGAAGACATGGAAGGAGAGCAAGTGTCATGTATGTGAGGATCCTATGAGCCAGGCAGGAAGTGGCAAACATACCAACTCTCGTTCCATTGGCCAGAATTCACTCACATCAATCACAGCTAGCTACAAGGGAAGCTGGGAGATAATATCCAGCTATATGCTCTGGAGGAAAAAATAGTTTTGTTGACCAGCAGTTTAGTGACTCCAACAACGGAGGAATTGAAGGTCAATGTTAGCCTGACCCAGGCCACCTAATGACAACTTGGGTAATCTTGGATAAGTTAAAATTACTATCTTCAGTTCTCTCTTTCCAAAATATTCTCTTCCCCAATCTTCTTTTCTCCCCATCCTATTATCCCTTTTATAAGGGTGAAGAGTTTAAGATTTCTTTGTCCACTCTTTGGCTGGTTTTTCATTTTTTAAGGTTCTACTGATTGGCCTATCTCACAACCTTTGCTGACATCTAACATATGCTACATAGAGGTTTGATGGAAATGTCCATTTTGTTATACTATTATTATCAGTTATTGAGTGTCCCAGCAGAAGCAACAACATATGCAAAGGCTGTGAGGCAGGAAAGAGCTCAGGGTGACTGAAGAGCACCTATGGCCTGGAAGCTCAATTTGAGGGCACTGGTAACGGAGTAAGCATCTTGAGTCTACC